CACTCTGGGATCAGGAATGGAACAGTATTGTCTTTAGTGACGAGTCTCGATTTTGTTTAGGCATGCACGATGGTCGTGCCAGGGTTAGAAGGCGACGTGGTGAAAGGAGGAATCCACAGTTTTTTGTTGAAAGACATGTTCATCACACTGTTGGAGTTATGGTTTGGGGTGTTATAGCTTATGGTTCCAGGTCACCTTTAATCTTCATCAGAGGTAAGATGAACGCGCAGCGTTATATCCGCGAAGTTCTAGAACCCCATCTTTTACCCTATCTTGACACCCTGGCAGATCCAACTTTCCAACAAGATAATGCCCGACCACATGTTGCAAGAGTCACAATAGACTTCTTTCAACATAATGATGTCACATTGTTACCATGGCCACCAAGATCTCCCGACTTATCCCCAATTGAGCACGTGTGGGATATGATGGATAGGAGATTGCTCAATTTGCAACGTCCTCCTCAGACTCTAGAAGCACTTCGAGAGGAGTTGGTGGTTGCCTGGAATGAGATACCACAGGAGGACATTGACCACCTGATCAGAAGCATGCCTAGGCGCGTTGGAGAATGCGTAGCACATCAGGGTGCATCCACACATTATTAAAGGTCAAAGCAGTGCAATCATTTTGAAATTTTTATCATTTACTCATTACGCTTCATTAAGTACTTATACAAAATTTTATTAAAATAAAACCATTTAAACTGGGTGTTCGAATTTATATGTCACTTAGTATATTTGCTCGTAAAGTTATAACCATTTCAGTATTCTTCGAGAGCAAATGTTCAGCAAGAGAGACACTTGTACAAAAATTGTCTACGTAAGGTATATGTCCTTTCCCTAAATAATCAGCTAGTAGTTGTTTCACAACCGTTGCTGCATGTGACTCATCTTTATCTACCAGAGTCCCTTTCCCACATAAATAATTATGTATAGAATATACCCGTTATCAGTGGTTAGCTCGTAAAGTTTGATGCCATATTTGTGTCTTTTATTTGGAATGCACTGCCGAAAGCTTTGACGCCTCCTCCATAGGATCATCGCTTCAGCAATACTTAAATGTTGACCTGGGGCAAAGATAGATTTAATATTTTCAACTTTTCTTTCCAAGATTAGATGAATTTTGAAAAGACGACCATCGGAGTTAGGAGTAGAGTGACCAACAAATCTTAACATTCTGAGAAGGTTTGTGAACCTGTTACGTGAAATTGTGCAGGAAAGCGAATATTACCACATACAGCATAAGCTTATAATTTTTTTCATTGCTTCTACAGTTGTGTCATGCCATTTCAATCTCTTTTGCCTCCTTGTAGATAGCGACTGATTATCGAATACTTCAGGTCGTCTGCCTGTTTCTCGATCAAGCATCTCAATTATGCTGTCTTCAATAAACAATTGAAAATATTCGAGTGCACTAGAATCCTTTGGAATGCTTATATTGATAGACTCTTCTTGCATAAAACGTAAGATTTGCGGATGTTCTTCCACACCCTCATTCATCGTCAGACTCATCTTTAGGCTGTGTAAGCTGTGTTTTCAAAGGACTCTGACTACGTGGCCGATTCTCATCTGGATCGATATTTGAAATGATCAGGACCCATCAAAATCAACCTCATCTGGCTCTTAATATCAACAAAGCAATCATCGCTTGAAAACAGGCTTTCTTCACTACCTTGGTCTACATCTGATATCACTAGAACTATCTCGTCTAGTTCAGCTTGAATCAACGGACGTCGTAAGTCTGGGTTTTCCCTCTTTTTCGACCCGTTAAGGCGGCTCCGACGCAGTGAGTTTCAAGCCATTTACAAGGCTTCAGCTACTTCAAAACTGACACTCCATTTTTCAATATTTTTGAATAAAATTCATATAGTATGTTGAGAAGATAATTGCCCAGGGTGCCATAGGAACACTTTTTGAAATTTTGTTTTTGCACAAGTTTTATGATGGGATGAAGTGCGCACCTTTTCTGTTCAACTTCGCGATTTTTTTAAAAAGAACCTTGTGCAAAAATAAAAAAGTGGCTCTATAGCACCCCGTGGGGTTTCGTTTTCAGCACTCTGAAAATTTCATCCAAAAATATCAATAAATAAAGCGTCAATTTCGAAGCGCAAACCTCTACAAATCGTATTTTGATCTAATTTCGTCTACTGTTTGGTGCTGCCAACCAAAGCATTGCGGCGCAATGTACGGACTAAGATTCAGATAATTTGGTGGCCCTATTTCATATAATATCGCGTAGATAAGTCATTCTGCAGATAGGTACTGATAATCGCGATCGCTGATACTCCTCGATTTTAAAGACGTTTTACTTCCCACGTCATTGGCGAGGAAGTATTGTAATCGCGAAAAATTTCTAAAGTGAGATGTTATGTTTTCTTAAGTCATATGACATCTACATCACGAAAAACTGTATCACTCTACAACTTGGAAATAACCGCTCGGATTTTTATGAAATTTCCACACGGGGTTACTAGTATGCCAAAGCTTTGTAGTTTTAGTCCAGTGGCAACGGTGCTATAGGCACAAAAGGAAAAGTAACAATAACTCCGTTTTTGACGATACACGGGTTCTTGACAGAAAAAAATTGTACTGCTTAAAAAGTGGGGGTTGGGGGAAGGTGATTCTAAGTGTTGCATCTTTGATATGAGTGAAACACATTCTATTGTTAAGAAGCTTCTGATCCCAGTCATTGCAGGAAATTTAAGTAACGAAAATCCGACGAATAATGTGACGATTTGAAAAAATCGGTACCTGCTCTGTAGGTGACACCAAGAGCCAACAGATCTATCTGCAACTGCCGACAGTAGGGAAGAATGAATTCGGATATCACTCCAGTCAAGTATAGGGGAATTTAGCGTGGAACTTTAAAATTATCGATATGTCAAGGAAATATGTTTTTGAGAACGATAATTTGGTAGATTTTATACCTGTATTTTCATTTGAATTTGATGACCCGTGAAATGTATCCATTTCGCCGTTACGTTCAATTTGTGTTCTGCAGTTTGCGATGTTTTTCTGGATATATGCAGGACATAATTGCCTAAGGTGCCTAAGGTGCTATCAGAGCGTTTTACAAAATTATGGTGGGTTGAAATGCTTACTATTTGTGCTCAACTTCTGGATATTTTAAAAATATCCTAGTAGATAAAATCGAAAAACAGGATCGTTAGCACCCTGTGGACTTTGTTTTTAGCACGCTGCAAGACTTTCAAAAATGTATTCAAATAATTTGATAACTTTCCTAAAATAAATTCAAGAACTCAAATTACAATTCGTTTATTCATGTCAGTAAACACATTTATGTTTACAAGGGTCATGTGGTACATGGTAATAATTGAATGAGTCATAAAGATATCTTATGCCGTCAAAATAAGAGGAAACAGTTAGGTAGTTTTTGCAAATCAATAAACAGATAGGCTTATACCTGGATTAAGTACATTTCTTGTCTACTGTAATAGGTAGGTGGACGCGATGCTGCCAGAAATGGATGTGTGCGATCAATAAACAAACCAGAAGACTGAACTGCGGTGTCCAATGATTTTTGTATTGCCTTTTTTATTGCGTTACTAGAAAACTCTGTTGCGTATATGATGGAGTTTACTAGAACTTTGCAGCTTGTTGTCTGCCTTCTTCTACAAACTCCACCAAATCTAGACACTGTCAACCTTATCCTCCGATGAAGGCGCGACAAAGTACAGTCCTATGATTTGGTGACTTGTTCGATCTGCAAAATCTCGTCGTCACTTTTTTTAAGTTTCCCAAAAAATTTTCGCTTAGCAACCTCCAAATCAATGTAGTTAATGTCAGGTTTTTGATTGAATTCGCCATAAATCTATTCATTTTCTATGGAATTGCTATCCGAATTGTTAGTTATTTTTATATCAGCTTTTTTTGGTCTGAGTATCTTTTCAAGATTCTTGCGTTTCTTTGTTTCATCTTAGCGATAAGCGAGGTTGGACTAAGCTTTGAACGCAAATGTATTTAGGCTACTTATACAGGCCGCTGGGTATTGTGGCTCACTACAGCTGCAGCACATCTTCCATGGGATGACCTCTTTTTCGCTTATTCGCTTACCCCAATGTATTTTGCGATTGTAGCGTTGAACTACTCGACACTATTGTTGACCTAATCATGAATTAAACTCACTGCATTCGTAATTAAGATGGTCGCATATGACCCTTTATTGTCCATTATCAGCATTGATGAAAAAAGTCACTCAAGAACAATTACACCAACAACAATTCAACAACACAAAATCGACGAACAGTAACAAGGGGAGAAAAATACTAAATGATCACTTGCTGAGTACCAAAATAAGAAACGATTTACATTATAGATCTCTAATCGAAATCGAAATTTACCTTGGTATGCACCCGCAGTCATCCTTTCCTCTTTTAAAGTAGCACCGACGACCGTCTAGGCCCAGCCCACCCTCGTTTTCCTTTGAGTGAGCACTGTGAAGTAAAGAAAGAGACCCCGACGCATGTTCTGTGTCGCTGTGAGGCTCTGAGCTACTACAGGCAGACTATACTGGGGTCCACCACTTTGGATCCCCAGAACATTAAGGATCTGGGACTCAAGGCTATACTCAACTTTGCTAGAAGGGCGGGGCTTGGGGTTTAGGACATGTAGAGGTGCATAAAGGCTCGTTTAAGTGGCGTATGCGCCAGCTTGTCACGGTGGCCGGTATGCCTTTCATAATTCATGCATAGTTTTTGCTTTTCTTCCCCAAATAGCACAACTACATCTTAAAGACGTTTTAAAAGCGTCTTTTTGAGATAGTTGTAAGGACGTCTTGTGAACGGTTTACAACATCGTAAAGACGTTGTAAAGACGAACGTGTATTAGGAAAACAGCGTCCTTAAATACGTTCGTTAGGTCTTTAGTGCGGCATTAACGATACATAAGAAAAAAACACTCAGATTATTAAAAAGTAAATTTATTGAAACGGATGTTTTAAAACAAGTAAATTTCTTGAACCTGAATAATATCTTTCTCCAGATGTTTTATGCAGTGGCGGGGCAACAGGAAGTTCTTCCAAGGCAAGGCTTCATTGGTCACTTGAGTGAAATTTTGTGTGCCCCAGGCAACAAGCTGACACTGTTGCTTTGCGAGAACTTGGTGTTCACTCTTACTGGTTTCAACCCTGAACAGACAAATACCTCCTTACTGCCTGACATTATGGCGCATGCACCGGCTGGTTGTTCTACGAAACAGATGCTTCATTATGGACAGGAATTAGGAACAGGTAAATACAATATTAAAAAGATTAATAACCCACTGAACACCTATATATATATATGTATAAATATTACCTGAATTTTAGATTCCTATGTTTATGTACTAGATTCAAATAAGGTAAAGATGAGCTTGTACACTGGTTGATTGTTTAGCACAGTTTACATTTCTATGCATACTGTACATATACTACAATGTGTAGGTTGGCTCTTGTTGTGGACTTCGTGTGTGATTTTTTTCCCTCTCCATCTTATTTTTCTCAGGTTACACCTGTATCCGGATCTATGGGCATGCGCATCTACTTTTTTAGTTGCATGTGTGCATTTATTTCGGGCCTGATGAAGCCAACCAGCAGAAATACGTATCGCTCGGGTTACTTATCCTATTTTCTGCTCGAGTCCACTTCTTTTTGCGGAAATTGCTCATTATTTTCCTATTTTTTGTAGGGTGGGCCATCTATCGGTTTCGATTTGAACCACGTGTTAATTTGACGCTGACAATACTTATGTCAATCTGATTTGTCATAAAATTCAGTATATTATCTCCGCTGAGCGAAATGAATCGATTTACGCTTGAGCAACGTTGGGTAATATTGGAAATTTATTTCCAAAACAAAGACAATTGGGCAGAAATTGCACGAAAATGCCGTTCAAAATTCGGTCGCAACGAAGCACCAACAGCGCCCGGTATACGCAAGTTTATTAATAAAGTGCGTGAAACTGGTTTCATTGTTGATGCTCCAACACGTCAGCGTGCTCGTACAGTGCGTACACCCGAAGGTATCGATGCTGTGGCTGCGAGTGTGCGTGAAAATCCATCAACGTCAACACGTCATCGTTCCCAAGAATTGAACATTTCCCGCACCAGTTTACGACGAATTTTGCGGAAAGATCTCGGTATGACGCCTTACAAAGTTCAATTGGTTCAAGAGTTGAAGCCGCGTGACCATCCACTTCGTTCTGCCTTCGCTACATGGGCCAACGAGCAACTAATCAATGATGTCGATTTTGCGAAAAAAATAATCTTTTCAGACGAAGCTCATTTTCATATTGGTGGCTACGTCAATAAGCAAAATTGCCGTATCTGGGGCTCGGAAAACCCACACGAGGTCTTAGAGAAGCCAATGCATCCCTTGCGAGTGACTGTTTGGTGTGGATTGTGGAGCGGAGGCATCATTGGCCCATATTTCTTTGAAGACGGGGACGGCGCAACCGTTTCTGTCAATGGAAACACCTATCGCACCATGATAACTGATTTTTTTGTTCCTGCTCTTGATGGTATTGATGTGGAGAATGTTTGGTTTCAGCAGGATGGTGCAACTTGTCACACATCGCATGCCACAATCAACTTATTGCGCGAAACCTTCGATGGCCGTTTAATCAGTCGAAATGGTGATGTCAATTGGCCGCCAAGAAGCTGCGATTTGACACCATTGGACTATTTCCTGTGGGGCGCTGTTAAAGACAAGTGTTATGTCGACCATCCAGAGACAATTGACCATTTGAAGGCCAACATTCGTGATGCCATTGACGAGATACGGCCCCAAACACTCGAAAAAGTGCTCGAAAATTGGTCCGATCGAATGGGCTACTGTGAGGCCAGCCGCGGCAGCCATTTGAATGAAGTAATATTTCATTTCTGAGCGGAACAATTGTACTTCAAAACAAAAAAATAAATTTGGCAATATCTCAAACCGTTTTTGTTTTATTTTATTTTTAAATCGAAACTTTTAAATGGCCCACCCATTATATATATATACGTATGTGTGTGTGCTGTTACTTTATCTCTATCAGAAGTGTTAAATTTCACTGACTTAGTTTCGTTATTTCATATTTATTCAGGAACGACGACACGTTTATATTCAAGAATTGACATAACCGTTGTATCAGCCATTTATTCCATTCAACTGGCCAATAAATAAAATCTCAGAATCGATGAAAAAAGCTTACGACCGATTTGACTTTTAGTATTTACGAGCCCCTTCCCACTTCAGTTGGCCCACTTCAAGATTTGTACCAAAATATGCCTTTATAAACTAAACATGATGAAACTATTTACTTCTAAAACAATTTATTTTCTCAAAAACACTTTAGATACACTCTAGTCGTAAAAAATACATATTTGAAATCACTCACACTCACACCTATAACTAATAGTACATCTGAACAAATAAACAATGTGCGAATAAATGCGCGAAGTTAACAAAGCAACAATTGAAAGATTACCATTGGGTAACATCACCTTTATTTTTTGTTACGACTGAAATTCTTTGGGGCATAGTGTTAACCAAGTTTTGGCAAAAATTTTGTGTAAAACAATATTTCTTGAAGCTTTTGTCTCAGTTCGGTGATTGTACGAGCAGGATGTTGTCGTAGAACCTTTTTCATCTCGTGCCACAAAGTTTCAATAGGTGACAGATCTGGACTGCTAGAAACCCATTTCAAAAGTGGTACATTATTTTCTTCCATCAATTTTATAGCCTTTTTTGAGGTATGGCGCGCTGCACCATCTTGCTGAAACACAAAATCTTGGCCGGATGTCAAACATTCTTCCATCACTGTTAAAAGCGATTCTTCTAAAATTGCCAAATATTTGTTTGAATCCACATTTCCATCAATAAAATGAAGTTTTACTACTCTTTTTGATGACATACTGCCCCAGAGCATAATGGATGCTGGAAATTTCGCTTTTCTCTTTAGATAGTCAACATGGAACGCTTAATTTTTTTTGCGAATGACTCTACTGCGACTGTCACCAACACAAACTTCGAATCGGGCCTCATCACTCCATTGTATTGCACACCATTGTTGAGGTGTTTATTGTCTATGTTCTTTAGCCCATCAAAGCGGATTTTTCTTCTGCAGTGGAGTTAATAGTGGCTTTTTTTTGGCCTATAAACAAGTTGTGCAACTTTAGGGTTTTTACTTCACTTTTTTTTTTATAAGAAATCTTATCTTGCAGGTGCTAAATCCCGGTTTGTGGGCCTCTCTGTGAGTTGTCGACCTCGAAATTCTCCTTCGAGCAGCGTCACACTCCACGGAGCACTTAATTGTAAATAATTGGCACGCCTGTTTTTCACGATTATTCTTCTTAATGCTCTTGGATGGGCATTTGTTATATTACTTTTTTCACATACCGTGGCTTAATATTAGCTGAATCAGTTTCGTTATATCTTCTAACAATATTTCTCACACTGTACCGCGATAAGTCTAACAAAGTCGCAATTTCTGAGTTTAATTTCCCAGAATTAAAAAATTTAATTATCAGTAACCGAATTTTCTCACTAGTAACCTTTTCTCTACCCATTTTGGAAACCTTAACTACCTAAAACTATTTTAAACGTATTCTGACACCTGTGATTAATAAAAACAATTGTCATGACTTTTATTTACACAGCCACCTATGAGTTATTGACTTATTTTGCATTGAAATGAAAATAGGTTGATATGCTGTAATTGCAACAAAAAATGAAAAAATTATAATGAACAAACGATTTGACATTTTTATGCGTCTATTGTCTTAATGTGACTTTTTCTACATAACTGATCTCTGTACCCTTTTTATATAATCATTTACTATAAAAGTTATCACAATTCGCAGTAGATGTTCCTGTAAAAATGCAAGGGTCGGTTTTGCTTCTTCAAACAAACAGGCGAAATATGCCTTCATGGCAGATTCTGTTTAGGACCGTCCCATTATACAAATCAGTTTTAAAGTTTCATTCGTCTTCGTGAAATGTTAGAGTCTGAATGTTAAACACATCTTGTACAACTTATCCTCAAGTCAAATGAATAGTTGTACAGCCTTACGTTGTGCCTGACATAAAAAGCTTAAAATAATACAATGTTATTTCCAGGTCACTTTCGGCAGTACGATTATGGTATGGTAAATAATCTACGAAAATACAAAAGCATACACCCACCGCGGTACTACATGAAAAACATAAAAATACCAATGTATCTGATCTACAGCAGAAACGATTGGATATCTTCAGAAACAGATACACGGAAGCTATGTACGGAAATCGGATCATCATGCAAGGCCTTCCTGATATCTGATAAGTCCTTCAATCACTTAGATTTTGTATATGGTATTTATACAGATACGTTGGTAAATCCTAAAGTATTAAGTTCATTTGCTAGACACTGATACTTTTACAGGTTCATATTATTTTTTACGTAACTTGTTGGACATAGTATGCTTCCTACAAATATTGCCCAAATTTTAAGTGGTGCAGAGAACAAAGTTTTGTAGGTTATAAAGATCTGACTATCAGTGTATGTATAGAGCTAGAAGAAATTGTTGAAATCTGGGAGTACCACATCGGAGATCAGCATCCCAACTTTTCACCATCAACTTTCTTCAGATGTTAGTCGGGCTCTACGACAGTCAACTTATTGCAGCATTCAAAAGCTGCTTGCTACTCGGCAGTTAGTAATACGATTCTTTGTTTATATACGATGAGTGAGCATGTGGTGGTGCGAACAGCCTTTTTATAGCGAAAGCAGGTATCATCTTCTCCACCAAATTTTAGGAACTGCTTAATACCTGAATGAAGTTACAAGTTGAAAACTAAGACTAAGGTGCATTGAACATAGCAGGTGAACCACCGTTCATGCTGTTTATATTGAATAACCTGGTCAGTAATAATGCAGAAGTTGGTTCTGGTAAGCAGTTGAGTCAAAGTCAAAACTGCCGGCAATCTATGTCCAACAGTGATAATTTTATCCCCCAATAACATACATTGTATTGATGTGCTTCTACGCATAGCTTAATTTGTTATACAAACTTATCTCTGACTTAATGCGATGTATGTACTCATTTTCCTACCACTGTTTTTGTAATATTTACAAATAAAATCAAGTTGAGGAGGAATACTTGTTTTATTAATGTATTCTAACTACTAGAGGCAGCTTTCAGCTAGAAAACAGCTCAGTGGTCTTAATGAATTGGAAATTTGGCTGGTTAAATGGCGAATCTGGATCGACAACTCATCAGGAAGACAAGCGACACTTACCTCATGCATCTCAAAATCTGGGTATGTTAAAATGTTGGCTGTATTGCGGATACACTGTATCAAAAATGAAGAAAATACCAACGGATAAACAATGCTTACATCTGGAGAAAATTGTGTCATCGCTTTACTATTCAGAACATTATTATCACAACATACAAAATTTTGTAACCTATTTATTCTATTCCAATAAAATACGTTTTTTTTTGTTATGTTGTATAATAGATTATGCTCAATTTTAGAAACAGGTCAGATTTGAACAGCTTCTTTGAATTCAGATTAAATGCTTGAAATCATAAACAGTGTTGTAGTTAATGAAGCATTATTAATTGGTGTTCCAACAATATTACCCCCTTTGGGAACATAATCATGTTCTCCTCAACTGGTTTTACATATCTGAAACGGTTCTTTGCATAGCCTAAAAATTTATGTCTCTCCATCTGGAACTGGATCGACCATCAATGTATTACAAATTGACTTCAGAGTATTTTGGTGGGGTAAAATAAGCCATGGCTCCTAATAAATCTACATGAATGTGGACTGATTGTATACAATAGAGTCAAACATTATCGTCTTTTGAGGGGTAACTGTGTCTAAAAATGGAGTCTTTAGTATTACCCGAGTTGAGTGTCAGTTCCTGAGAGTACATTTTACATCCAGATCTTTATCAACAATTACAGAATGTGATGTAATAGCTGGTTTCATCCTGAACAACTTTATGCCACTCATCTGGAGATTGCCATGAACTTAAAACTGCGAAAGTCTGAATAATTTAGAAAACTTGTTGACTTTTTGTTAGGAGGTACACTTATCAGTGCTATCATACAGTGATTTAAGTACATAGTTCCTTGTCCCTCAATTTTTCATTTCGGCTTCTTCTGCTTGAGATGTCGTTTGAAAAATATTTTGAGCAATTGGAGAGACTACCAGTATCCTTTTATATATCTCCATCTTCCTAATACACACACATGCAACCCACCCCTGTCAGAACGTTTGTTCGGTAAGCTCAAAGACATACGTTTTTTAGTTGTGTATCTCCGTCTCCGAAACTTTGTCAGTGCGTATGAGTGCTCTTCAATCATACTTGTCAGAGGGACAACTTACTTGACACGGGCGTTGCAATTTGAGCTGTCCTGTTATCAGTCTTCAATATAAAATTGTACAATGCCCGGAAATACGATGAATGAATAACATCAGTAAATGAAAACTTATCGATGAGAAAATAATTACAGTGGAAATGAAAAAGGTTAGACACAATATTATAATTGTCGGAGTATATGAACAGAGCGAAGACGCAGATCGTGAAATTAAACATGACAAGACAACAAGATGACGGATAAAGTTGTATATGTTGAAAAGGACAGGGAATTATGTATATACAGGGTGGCCCATCCATGTGTGGACGAAAGATAAACAAATACATTTTGGGAAAATCTATTTATGGCATGTTACACACGGCATTTGAGGACACATTTCTAAAATATTTGCAATTGTACAGCGTATCCCAATTTTGACCTACATATCAAAGTTGTGATTTTTTGCATGGAATGCCTCAAATTTTATTGCATATTTGGATAAACAAATTCAAAAGAAGAAAATTGATATGACATACTATGGGGTTTGGGTAATTAGCTACTGAGACGTAGGGTGTTTTGTCCACAAAAACCGTCTACTTCGGCAACCCCTCAATCCGCCATTTTGAAATTTGAAGTACTGAATTTTGTATCAAAACAAAACTTACACACCTTAGCTTTTATCTAATTTGTTACTTGAAATCACAACTTTGATATATAGGTCGAAATTGGGACAACCTGTATAATGGCCACCCAACTAGCAAAGTAGTGCTATAAGCTTTTGGTAAAAGAACCGTTCAGCCATAAAAGCTCTCTATTGTTGTTGTCTGGACACCAAAATGCTGGCTTAATGTTGCGTGGAATGCAATTTTGCTTTTTGCAACATATTTGCTCTAAAATGTGGTGTTTAAAATATTCTTATAGCATAGTTATACAGCACCTTATAGGACAAATTTTTAACTGTTGCATAAACGTTTATACAACTATTTTATACGGCATATTTGCACGTTAGCCAAAATGGTTCTGTTGAGGCATCTATGGTAACGTTTATAAAACAATCCCGAGCCTTGTTGTTTTGCTGTGCAAATTTACTACTTTAGCCAACAAATTGCTCCAAACGGAAGCACTTATACAACTGTTGTTTAGTAACTGTTAAAGGCTGTACATATGCAACAATATTACAACTTTTGTAGTACAAAATTGCTGTGTTTGGCATACATTTGTTGCTAAATATGTTGGTATACAACTTCACCATAACCTAACTTTCTGCTGTCATATTTTTGTTAAAATACCATAACTAATGTTTTAAGACAAACAACGCATGCATATTGGTTCAAACGGTTTCATCAACTGTTCAAACAGAAGATATAGATCTGGTACAAATTCTGGGTAAATCATTCGACTCTGTCGGTATTTCATTTCAGACATTTCTCAAATTGTTGCATAACTGCTGCAGGAAACACCAAAATATTCTAATAAACTAAAGACAACATGGACGATGCCATGATTATACACAACCACCCGTCATATTAGGCAAACATTCATTCCTCTATTTAATATTAAATAATTATGTTTCAGTTCGAAATTACATATATATTGTAATAAACATTAGTGTAATTCTGTCTAAATCTAGGATTTGTGGAAGATTTAAAGCAGATAAGTTCAGTTTTCCATCTTAAAAATCTAGACATACTTTTGATCATTATTAAAATATGAATCAAATACGAATCCCGTAGAAATTGTGTAACTACTTTGCACGATAATCACAATAAAATTTCCTGCGCAAGTAATTCAATAGCCCTATATCACAGTGTAGAAGTTTATCATATACCTGTGTATGAAATTCCCAATGGCCGATATGTAAGTAAACAAGATGACTGTAATATGTTAGGTATATATTCTGCATTTCGTCTATACAATACATAAGATATAGTTTGGTTGCAATAAAGTAGAATCACGTAACAGAATAGTTGTATAGTTGACAAAAACTGAATCTTGCACTGACGCAAATGTCCTATAGCGGCTGCAAGAGGCTTACACTTTTGTTTTATTACTGTTACCTGCAGCCCTCATTTAATAGATTTTCCCAAAATGTATTTGTTTATGTGCTCGGTCCACACATGGATAGGCCACCCTGTATATTATCAGATTTAAATGGAAGGGTAGAAGGATAAGAATGATCCTGTAGTAGGCAAATATTGTTAAGGAGTGATAAATGAAAACGGAATACGCATTAGAGTTGTTTTTTAAAACACGTCCTTTAAGATAATGTTTTGGTTTTTCATGCATAAGGGCATTCTCAAATATACGTGGATTCAACCGACTAGAAATTTGCGCTCTATAATTGACTATGCAATACAGCGCCAAGGGACTCGTCTAAAGACTACAGACGAAAGGGTATACCGTGGACCGGAATGTGGATCATCACTTGGTAAAAGCGCAAATGATAATATGCGACGTAAATTGATATCGATGAGCACGTGGTTTTGTTTCAAGGCGATGACGTCAATCGCCAAATGTATGTCCTCAATCTGTGGACCTGCATCACTTCTGATAAACATCGTCCTTCCTAAACAATTTTTCTTATTTACTCTTTTTCAAATAGAAGCCGCACTCGAAATACCAAAATATATCTAATCTCTAGATCAATTTCTTCCACCAAATAGTCTAGCTACAATTACCATACAATACCCACAGGTTCTTCATTATATAAGAAATATATAAACTATTTTCTTCACTACAAATTGTATCTATTTGTAAAGTACTAGATAAATGAGATGTCTTCAAAAGGTTTGCTGTTGCTGATGTGTATTTGCACTTTGGAGTCCAAGTGCGATGTCATTTCACTCAATGGGCTGAATAAAATATATCAAGATGCTACATCTGATGACTTCATAAGTACGGTATGTGGCAATATTCGGTTATTTCCAAAAATGAATTTATGATTCTGCCGGTCGGTCATTTCCACTGGAACACAGATCAGTTTAGCGCGAAGCTAGGCAACATCATAAAGGGTATATTGGGATCTTGGATATTTCTGCATTAAATAAAATAACTAGATAGTTGGTGATACTTTGGAAAAAATGTGTCATATCCCGATAGAGTCATTCCCCACTTCTCTTGCCCTGTTAATCAGTAATTGACCGTGGCGTCTCGTCCTGCGGCAAACAGGGTCAAAAATTGTAATTTTTTTCAAGAAACATGACATTGTTTTGCTGACTTTAATGGGAAGTAGCTTAAGCTGTGGCTGTTTTTCAAATAGTATTTATATTAGGTATACTGTAACAGAGCTATCTCTTAATAAATTTTTATTTTCCTCAGCATAGACCCCACTGCCAATTATAAGAATTTCGACTAACTTACCTACGCCAGTCATCGGCCGTTAGTATTTTTTTGACATTATTTTAAAAGTTTATGATCATGATTAGTTTCTCGTTGTGAAAATCTGTTTAACCACATTTGAAGTATTTGGGGTACAAAATACAGTGCAACCCGCATATATTGGACTATGACAAATAGTCTATTATAGGCGGATGACCAACTTAAAAGAAACACTTCTTTTTATGAAAAAAGCAGCAGAAATAACATATAAAGATTAAAATGTGTTTGTTCAACATGTATTACATAAATAAAGATACATACAAGAAAGTTATACGTAATTTTGACATTTGCATTTTTTCAGAATCTGATACACAGGCATACATAATTATTATGTAATAAAGCTAGTAATTTTCATTTGAACAGATTGTTTTTTGTATAATTATTCAGAACAGCAAGTTGAATTTTGTTT